ACTTAAAGATAAGAAACTAGTAAACTATGAACAACACACTTCTTTCATAGATTGTTGAATGCTTTATATTTCTCGAGCTCATGATAAGATTATATTTGTTTGTTTATTGTCAAGCACAAAACAACACAATGGGCTTTCTGTAACCAAAATGGGTATCAAAACCCGTTTTTTTTACGTTTATAAGCCTTCAGACTTGCCGTTGAGCCACTGGTAGGCATCATGATTAGAGGAAATATTGATAAAGTTATATAAATATCGATTGTTTAACATTAACACCCGATCTGTAATCTGCTGCAGGTCGAAAATCATTATTAAGTTAAAAAAGGAAAAAACAAAACAAACATAATTATTGTATTATGATCTGTACTAACTCCATAAACTAATATATAATGAAAGGATAATTTTTCCAATAATGTCAACAACTTCCATGAAACTATCTTCGTTTTATAAGTAAATTATAGCTCTTATTCTTATTTGATCTTCCGTATAACACAAAAATACAGAATACAAATACAAATACCCAAGCATTGTTTGTTTCTGAGGGTGATTGTATTATTATTAGTTTGTTTTTTTTTTTTGTGTCGGTGATTTTTAATTATTACCCAAGCCAGGCACAACACTGTACTCGGTTTCAATTTAGCTTGACTGTAAAACATTCATGAATAAATTAATTACCAGTGTGATAGTGAACAAACTTTTAATTAGTATTGTATATATATAATTGTAACACTCAACCGTTCTGTTAAGGTATTTTAAAATGGCATCGCACGAAAAGATTACTCTCTATAGCATGCATTATTATGAAATGTCAGGCCGTTCACAGAATGTTACTTTCTTGAGATTGGGGTTGTACATTATCTTCATCTTTAAGTGTTTCTTGTTGGTTAGATATCAAGATTAAGATGCTGACTGGTCAAAACATGCTTACATAAAGTTTCAGTCCATTGGTTAAGATGCTGGCTGGTCAAACCATGATTACATAAAACTTCAAACCGTTGCTTAGGATGCTGGCTTGTCAAATCATGATTATGTAAAGCTTCAAACCGTTGGTTTTATATTAGACCTCATGTTCCATTTCGAGAAAAAAATATAGCAGATGACGAGTTTTCTTAAATCAAAGCTCGCAAAGTCTTGCGTTGTCTACAGGATCAAGCTTCCATGAAATAGTCAAAGCTCCCAAAGTCATGTGTGTGGTTTATTGTCTACAGGATCAAGCTTCCATGAAATAGTCAAAGCTCCCAAAGTCATGTGTGTGGTTTATTGTCTACAGGATCAAGCTTCCATGAAATAGTCAAAGCTCCCAAACTTTTGTGTGTGATTTATTGTCTACAGGATCAGACTTCTGTGAGATAGCTGTTACCGTTTGTAACCATAACTAAACAAAAGGAATAATACATGTTTATGAAATTTCGACATCAGGTTTAACGAGAATGTTGAAACATCATCATAGGAATTTAGAAGAAAATATCCGAATTTATCTTACTACAGATTTCAAATTCGATGACGAGGAACCCACTTTGAGACTAATAATGGCTGGAGACGGCTTAAATGGGTAATGAAGAAATACTTTAATATAAGTTTAACATGACAGCAAATGTACAACGTTTCGACAAGGTTTTGTCATCATCAGGTACAAATATAAGCCGTCTCCAGCCATTATTACTACAGATTTATTCTATAACTAATTAAGCAAAGTTAACAGTTATTTCAACTGTGACACATACAAGCAACTGTCAGTGTCACACATTCACTAGAGCTTGTAATACATTTTTTTTTTCCAAATTAATTATTTTTACTCAACTATTTATTTCAAAGCTGAAAATTGTTGTTGCACGAGTGCAAAGCTACAAAATATGCTATCTGTGCTCTGTCCACCGCGGTCTATCGAACCTCGGATTTTAGCAATATAAGTCCGTAAAACTATCACTGACCCACCAGAGGACGTTGAAAGACAAATTACCTTTTACTGGAAATGACTGGTTTTTCCCTGTTTTAATTTTCTGCTGCTTCTTCCCGCTCTTGCAATTCTATTTATCAGATCTCGCATTTATTTATTTGTTTTTTTGTTAAACCATCTTCCAACGATGTTACAGTGCAGACTTTCTTATTTAAAAAATAATCCCAAACATCTTTCCTCGTAATTGTTAGGACAAGTTTTTGTTTTCAAACAATTACCTATTTTCATACTAAAATATAAGGTGATCAATGTTTGGAGGTAACAAATCACTTTTTTTCATGGTTCTCGGAAAGATATGTTAGGCAAATGGATGAAAACATATGGCCTGGCATGACCTTGAAGTTAAGACGCTCGACTCCAATCTACGGGTCAAGGGTTCGAATTTCCGTCCTTTTAGCTGTGGGAACGCTTTAAAGCGACGGCCAATCCCACTATTCGTTGATAAAAGAGTAGCGGTGGGTGGTGTTGATTAGATGCTTTTCCTCTAATATATCACTGCTAAATTGGGGACGGCTAGCGCAGATAGCTCTCAATTAGCTTTGTGCGAAATTCAAAATCAAACCAAACAAACTGAAAATATATTTATACCAGAAGTAGGACTAGGCTCATGTAATTTTCTCTGGCTACTTTATTATACAAATTGTTGGGTAATAGTACTTTGTAGAAGCCAGGAATCCAGATTTAAGGTCTGGCGTTTCAATGGTCTAAAGTGTGAAACACAACTGTAGTAGTTAATATTTAAGCTCAGTTTAACTTTGGCTGCAACGGAAACGATTAATTCAAAGTTTGTTCTTTCCGCTTACAATAAAATCGATCTCGCATTTTGCAACATAAGTTTTTTCTCAACAGGAATTTTCGTCGAGAAAAAAGAAACATTAACTGATATATTTTTATTATTATATATTATATTATTATATTATTATATTATTAATGTCTTTATTTTGTTTCTTGTAATAGTATAATTATACTTTCATTTTGCTTTAATCATTTTTGCAAATTTTGGAATGGAAGTGTTTTTATTTAAGAGAGTTTTAATGTTTAGAAAAGTGATCATATAAAGTTTATGAAATCATCTATTGTTCTTTGTGTTAGTCAAAAATCCATTCATTGTTTTTCTTACTTTCATAAACTAAACAAAGATAAAACTTTAGATTTTTACCTTAGAAATTCTGTATGGGACCATTAACTTGAACTATGTTCTACAATAACTTTCATCTTCATGTTGCATGTACACATTTCGCGAAACGATAAATCTAAACTGCTTCTCTGTTTTATTTTTAAGAATCAAAGTTGTCGCTAGGTACTGGCACACGAGGCCCGTGCCCCAAATTCCTAGTTGGTGTCTGGAAAAATCAAAATAGCAAATCATGATCGATATCATACCAAAACGTCAAAAATTCCCGCACCTATGGACCCGAACCCGAATCTTTTAGCATTTAGCGACGCTTTTATTAAGAATAAGTGTGTTATACTCGCTGTAATTTTTCCCCTTTGTCACAAATTATAAATTACATTATGATTTCATTTCATCCATCTTTTAACTTACTTAAAAATTCTTGAAACACTTGATATTTATGCTTTTTTATCTTGATCGATAAGCTTAGATTTAAGCATATGGTTGCACGCTATGTTTTCTTCTTAATTTAGATGTATTGTTTATGATTGGGGAGTTTTTAATATCACGTAATGAACGCGTGGCTTAATGACTAGAATTTTCTTGATAGTTTAGGAAACGATTTGAACTATACAAAACGGGCTTTAAGCGAGACTATCTTTGATAGTTTATTGAATTATCAAGTTAATTAATTCAACGTTATAAGTTTTCAATTTGTGTTTTCAACAAAGTAAGAGATACATGAAAGTATTGTACGCACGAGAAAAGTAGCAAGTATGTGGAAAGTTTATTAAGACGTTATTTATTTGTGAAGTTAAGCCTATTATTAGTTACGTGGAACTTGCAAAAGTTGTAGGACTTGTAGTGGAAGAAATGGTTTGGTTTGTTTTGGAATTTCGCGCAAAGCTACACGAGGGCTATCTGCGCTAGCCGTCCCTAATTTAGCAGTGTAAGACTAGAGAGAAGGCAGCTAGTC